AAGTGTTTTAAAATTATTTTTGTATAAATTATAAATTTAAAATAAATATATAAATATTAAGACATTAATTCTTATACATTGTCGGTATAAAAATTTATATACGGTTAATATATTCCAATCATCTATTTATATTGTTATTTAAATTGTTAAAATAAAAGTTAAAATTTTTAAATAAATTAACTATTATATTTATTTGAGAGTGTAAAATTTTTTTAAACTATAAGTATATATCAATTAAATTCAAATATTAATAGTTTAACTTAATATGAAATGTAAGTTACTTATAAAGAGTTATTTTTAACTCTAAAGTAAGAGATTTGATCCATAGTATTTACATACGCACCAAATTGTCGGAGAATCAACGTATTTTAAAATAAATAAAACAAGTCATTATACGTATGTATTCAAATTTTTTGTTGTCATATATAGTTATTTTATGGAATATTTTGATAAGTCTTTGGAATAATAGCACATGAATAATTAAGTAGTACAACACCAACTTGACATCCATATACTATTTTTTTTTTCCATTTGGTGACCAAGACATCCACGTACCTTTGTCTTCTTCCCCAAATTCAAGGTTTTACTTCCACAGCTTTGAACATTTTTTTTAATGTTTTTTCTTTCCGAATATTATTATAAATAATCTTTTTGAATATATTAAATAATTTATATGTTTAGTCTATATGATATATGATTTTTTTCAATTAATTGTTTTAACTTATTGTTTATAATAGTTATTGGTAAATTAGGGGAACAAACAGAAATGAACATATTCACCCCATTTTTGTTTCTCTAAAGGATAAACTTTGTATAAATTATTCATAAAAGTCAAATAAATATGAATTTTGGTTTGACAAACCTAAACATAATATAAATATAAACAAAACGGCATGATCGATAGACCGGTCTCGTGTTGTCACTCTAGGAAAAAAGTACTTTTGAATAATTGAATAATTGTCAAGGATTTATTCAATGACCAAAAAATTATGGGTTTTTGAACTTGTCATGTGCTTTGACATCAAATCCGTGACTCTTGGCCTACTGGTGTACAAAAGTCCAATTAGCCTTCTAGACAGTTACATTTAATTCAATGTAAAAGTTGATCCACCAAAAAAAAAGAATAACTTTTCTTTTATTTAAATATCACTCTCTCTTGTTCCACCTTTTCTATTATTATTATTACTATTTTTTTAAAAATTAAATAGGTTTATATTTCTCATAAGTATTTTAATCTTTTAAAATATTTTTTAAAAAAAATGATACTCTTAAAATTTTTAGTTCCCAAAATGTCTCTCCTATGATTTAACGATAAAATTAACAATAATGATAAAATTAATGACAATTTTAGTGACAGTTTTTAATTTAACAATTAAATTAGCGACAGTTTTAATATTAGAAAACAAAAGTGTGAGAAATTTTTTTATGAAAATTATTTTTTAAAAAATATTTTAAAAAACTAAAAACTAAATTTGAAATATTTAAAAACTTAAAAAATCTTCACAAATTACAACCATCCTTTATGAGTTTTTATTTTAAATTGTATTTAGAATATAATAAGAGCATAACATATTTATATTTATTAATATATAAGGTGATTTATGCAAATTATGTTTATGGAGTTATAAATAAAAATAATTTAATTATATGTTTCTGTAAAATAATAAAAGTATATATATATATATATATATATATATATATATATATATATATATATATATATATATATATATATATATATATATATATATATATATATATATATATATATATATATATATATATATATATATATATATATATATATATATATATATATATATATATATATATATATATATATATATATATATATATATATATATATATATATATATATATATATATATATATATATATATATATATATATAAGTCTTGTAGTGTGCTTTCTATTAAAATATTTAAAACTTTTATGTAATTGTGGCACTGAAACGCAATAAGTTGATATACCTTAGGATATTTTCTCACAACATATGCTACTAATAATATATGAAAATAATTAAATATTTAAATAAAAATTGTTTTTTTAACTAATCATAAAATACAAATTATTTCTACAAAAATAAAAAATTATTAATGTAAAAATATTATCTTTTAAATATATTAGATGTGAGTGAATGTGCCATAAATAAATATTTGTTGAAATTGAAATAAAAACTCTAACTCGAAACATTAAAGGAGAGTAATAAAAATGACTTATATTGCTTCATTCAAAAGAAATGATTCTGAAGAATAAAAAAAAACAAAAAGAATGACAGTAAAATTAAAAAGAGATATTAAACAAAATTTAATAATAAAAAGTTAGCAATTTAAATAATAAATTTGAGTGAATAAATTTTAAATTATTTGTCAATTTAATGGGGGCTAAAAAAAATATAAATGTATTATTAAAAGTTATTAAAGATATCTTTAATTTGTTACATATACATTGGTTCAATTTAATAGCAAATGAAGTGATAATAAAAATTAAAAACTCACACACACACCATCTGAGTATCTGGTTCAAACCCGAATAACAGGGTCTAAATTATCAATATCGACTATTGTCTGTTGAGTTAGAATTTGTGAACACATTGCAACATATTAAACTTGACATATATTATATATACATGGTTTGTTAATTAATCAGGAAAGAGCAAAAATCCTACTGAAATGGGCAGATTTAATTGATGAAAACATAGAAGAAATAGCAGCATTAGACACCATAGATGCGGGAAAATTGTACAGTTTTTGCAAAGCTGTTGACATACCTGGAGTAGCAGCCACAATCCGTTACTACGCCGGTGCTGCTGATAAAATTCACGGCGAGGTTTTAAAACCCGCGCGCGAGTTGCATGCATATACTTTGATGGAACCTATTGGCGTTGTCGGACACATAATTCCTTGGAATTTTCCTAGTACCATGTTTGTTGCTAAGGTTGCTCCTTCTTTGGCTGCTGGATGTACTATGGTTCTCAAACCTGCTGAACAGACACCTCTTTCGGCTTTGTTTTATGCTCATCTTGCGAAAGAGGTACGGTTAAAGAAAGTTTGTTGATTAAGTTTTCGATCGCAATGCGATTAAAATTGAGCTTAATGCGATTAATATTTTGAAGGCTGGAATTCCGGATGGAGTACTCAATGTAGTACCTGGATTCGGTGCAACTGCGGGAGCTGCGATAAGCTCACACATGGACATTGATAAGGTAAAATTTAAATGTTATAAATATTTGAATTTTAATGAAGGACTAATTTGATTGAGATTGTGCAGGTTAGTTTTACTGGTTCGACAGAAGTAGGACGCGAAATAATGGTATCTGCGGCTAGAAGTAATTTGAAACCAGTTTCATTGGAGTTAGGAGGAAAGTCACCTCTGTTGATTTTTGATGATGCTGATGTTGATAAGGCTGCTGAACTTGCTCTCATTGGCATCCTATTTAATAAGGTGAATATTTTCTAAGAAAAAGCGGCACGTGTTGGAATTTTACACTTCTGATACGCGCCATTATGAGTTATTGCATGGGATCATTACTATATAATAGATATGGTTCATAGTTTACTAATGAGTGGTCAGATCGTTCAGACGGGGTAATAAACCTGATGTATGGTTCATGAGTAATCTTATAAATTGGACCGTAGTATTTAACATTAGACTTTGTTAAGATACTACGATCACATACAATTGATCAAACTCTATTAATTTTCCCATGATTGTATGTCTTTAGGGAGAAATTTGTGTTGCCGGTTCACGTGTATATGTTCAAGAAGGAATCTATGATGAATTTGAGAAGAAGTTGGTGGAGAAAGCAAAAGCTTGGATTGTTGGTGATCCTTTTGATCCTAAAGTTCAACAAGGGCCTCAGGTATAAACTTAGCAACAGAATTTCATAAGAAAAAAAAACTATTTGATCCTCTCAGATGCTTATAAAAAAAAATAGTCATTTTAGATTAACTCATCAACAAACACTAAAAATTGTAAAATGAACAAAACATATTAAACTTTATTAGATTGAATGATCAAGTACAAAAACTATTTGTAGATGAAGTAGAGTTCATATTCTACAATCTAGGAACGAGTCCATAGGATTAGGACATATAACTAACTCCTAACTGCCATTTTCTATTAAAGGAAAGTTTGCATAACAAATTACTAACTAATTTTCTGTATAAGGAAAGTTTCCGTAACAAGTTAGTTATCGATCTAACTAACTATTAACTCTTTTTTTTTTATCTTCATTGTGTGTTAATTTGAAAACACAATAAAATTTAAAAACTGCTCAAATTAAATTGATCATTAGATTTAACATTTGTAATACTCAACAACGGAATTAGAAACAGATTTTACATTTTTCCATCTCTAATATTTTGTTGCTATTTCAACTTTTTTTTAGTAGTATATTATATTTCTCTAGTAAGCAAATATGAGTCTCTAAGATTCTCCTATTGTAGGTTGACAAAAAGCAATTTGAAAAAATTCTTTCCTATATTGAACATGGAAAGAGAGAAGGTGCAACCCTTTTGACAGGTGGTAAAAATATTGGGAACAAAGGTTACTATATTGAGCCTACAATTTTCTCTAATGTTAAGGTGAATTTCAATTCAACAAACATAATATATTATATATATATGCATTCCTTCAAAATATTCAAATATTTTGTTCATAATAATTTTATCAGGAGGACATGCTTATAGCACAAGATGAAATATTTGGACCTGTCATGGCACTAATGAAATTCAAGTAAGTTATATTTTTATAATATGATTGAATATGGTATTTCTTTTTCCATTATAAAGTTATGAATAAACAATATAGGACTATCGAGGAAGCGATTAAAAGTGCGAACAATACAAGATATGGTTTAGCAGCAGGAATTGTGACAAAGAATTTGGACACAGCAAACACTGTGTCGAGATCGATTCGTGCTGGAATCATTTGGATTAATTGTTACTTTGCATTTGGAAATGACATTCCTTATGGAGGTTACAAGATGAGTGGATTTGGAAGAGATTTTGGGTTGGAATCATTGCATAAGTATTTACAAGTTAAATCAGTTGTTACTCCCATTTACAATTCTCCTTGGCTTTGAATGTTGTTTGTATTTGAGTTATTATGTGTATGTGAACAATAATGGATCTTTTACATGTATACTTCATCATAATAATATAACATTATAAGATCTTATGTTATATTGCATACCACCAAATTTGTGCATGTTTGGATTCTCATTAGGATTGGTAAAATGTGTTGGCTTCTCTTAAGATTAATTTGAGTTTGTATATGTGGTTTATAAATTAGTTTTACAAATAAAAATAGATGAGAAGAGATAGATAAAAAGACTGAACAAATTATTTATACTAATTCATAATAATTATTGGTACATTTAAGTCCATTTTTTTTTAGTTTTTTAAAAATAATATTTATAGTGTAATATATATATATATATATATATATATATATATATATATATATATATATATATATATATATATATATATATATATATATATATATATATATATATATATATATATATATATATATATATATATATATATATATATATATATATATATATATATATATATATATATATATATATATATATATATATATATATATATATATATATATATATATATATATATATATATATATATATATATATATATATATATATATATATATATATATATATATATATATATATATATATAATTTATTTTAAAAAAATACTTTAAATGAAAATTTGGTTTGGATATTTTTTCTTAAAATGTTATTTTAATATTTCATCAATTTACTGTAATTTTTTTTAATATCAAAATTTTAAAATTATTTTAAATTATTTTTCATAAAAATGATTTTTAAATATACCGTTTTGAAAAATTTGTGATTTGAGATAGATAAGAGGACAGATCGATTATTTATACTAATTTATAACAATTGTTGGTACATTTAAGTCCAATTCTTTTAGTTTTTTTAAAATAAGTTTTATAGTGCTACATGTTTTTATTGAAAAATATATAATTTAAAAAAAAAACTTCAAATAAAAAAACGGTTTGAATGATTTTGCTTAAAATATTATTTTAGGTATTTTAGTATTTTACATATCAAAATTTTAATTATAAAAGTTACTTTTGAAATACATTTTTTAAAAAGTTTTGTAATTTTAATTATGTTTTAATCTTAAATAATAAATAATGTATATATGTGTTAGTGGATGACAAAATTAATCTTTTAATTAATAAAAAAATAAATTATTTTTTTAACATTTTTAAAAAAAATATTTTTGAAAAAAAAATTAAAGAAAAAAACAAATGGAAGCCTTACAAAGATATTTTGTCTCTAGTGGATGACTTAATCCACTAAAACAGTATACTATTTTTACTTCCTCTTCACACACTGTATTTATCTAAGAGCCTACTATTCAATATTGACATCTCCAACCTCTTAACAATTATGACAAACTCACTGTGTTAGCAGGCCACCAATAAGACATGTATATGCCAGACGCAAATTAAATTAGTCTCAATTATAATTATTAGTATGGATTATATTATAAAAGTTGTTAAGTTTTTATGCAATTTTTGGAGTTAAATTTAAGATTATTTTAGGAATTAATCATTATATATAAAAAGTTGTTAAGTCTCTTATGTAATTTTTTGAGCCAAAATTAAAGTTACTCACTAGAAATTATCCATTTTATAATATATGTTTTGGACACTTAAGTAAAAATTGTCATTTTTTTATATCCACGTCGGTTATCGCGACACTTATAGACAATTGTTTTAAAAAATTTAATAAAAAAATTGACAACTTAGATGGTTTTATGTCAAATTGTCCTCGGTTTTAATCTACGATGGTTTTTCCGCCTACCCCATCACCGCCTTAACATCATGTTTTTTGTTATTACAACCAGCACATCTCATTTTTACACTTCCCGCATTCGTAAATCCATATGTATGATTCCAATTTTCTTTACAAATTTCAAAACCCTTATCAAATCCTCAAAGAAAACCATAAAGATTTATTCTTCTATAAGTATCATTTGTAGATTTTTATAACAGGTAAATAATGACATTTTCATTGGTTTTGGTTGACGCCACTACTATAAAAATGATTTTTGATAGCGTAGAAAAGACAGCGCTTTTTGTAAAAGCGTTGCTAAAGAGTTAGGAAAAAAAGAAAAGAAAAAAAGAGTTGATTTTAGACAACGCTTTTAAAAAAACGCTGCTAAAGGTGGCAGTTATGGCTAACAATAGAAAGCGCTTTATAAAAAGCGCTGCTAAATGGGGTACCTACGAAAGCGCTTTGAGAAAGCGCTGCTATAGGGGTAACCTACGAGAGCGCTTTTAGAAAGCGCTGCTAAAGGGGTAGCCTATGAAAGCGCTTTCTAAAAGCGCTGCTAAAGGTGGTAGTAAAGGGGGTACATAAGAAAGCGCTGCTAAAGGGTGTACAAAAGAAAGCGCTTTTATAAAAGCGCTGCTATAGGTCCTGCCTAAGGCAAACCTTAGAGAGCGCTTTTATAAAGCGCTGCTAAAGGCCATGCAAAAACGCTGCCTTATGTTTAAGTAGCATAAATTTAAAAAAAACTCAGAATTTTTCAGAACAGAACAGTCTTTTGTTAAACCTTCGCTCCCACTCGCGATAGAATGCTACTCCCTCCGTCGACCACTTCCGTCTGTTGTGTTCGTCCGACCGCCACCGTTTGTCGCCGCCCTCCGTAGTTGTCTGTCGTGTTCTCCATTTCTGCCTCCGTCCGTCCGTTTCGTCCTCCATCTCCTCTGTCAGCCATTTCAACCATTTTTAAGGTATTTGAAGTTTTTTTAAAATATTGTTGATAGAAACAAATGATGTTGATGTTGTTGTTGTTAGTGTTGATGTTAATATTGTTGTTGATGTTGTTGATGGAAACAAATGATGTTGTTACATGTTAGTATTGTTGTTGATGTTAAAATGATAATGTTGATGGAAACAAATGATGTTGTTGCATGTTAGTGTTGTTGTTGATGTTAAAATGATAATGTTGATGGAAACAAATGATGATAATGTTGTTGTTGTTAGTGTTGATGTTAATGTTGTTGTTGTTAGTGTTGATATTAATGATGTTGTTGATATTGTTGATGGAAACAAATGTTGTTGTTGTTAGTGTTGATGTTAATGATGTTGATGTTGTTGATGAAAACAAATAAATTAATTTCGTATATATGCTAATGTTATTGTTGTTGATGGAAACTTGAATTAAGTAACGATAATGTTGTTGTTGATGTTGTTAGTGTTGATGTTAATGATGTTGATGAAAGTAATGAATTATTTATGTCTGTTAATTTTGATCGTTTCCAAGAATTATTTAATGTTGATGATGTTAATTTTGTTTGTTATAGGGGTTATCTGTGAAGAGCAAGATTGTGATTGTTTCCAAGAATCCTACTGTGTAGTTCTAGAAGTTGGTGATTTCTCAAAAGGTGCTACAGGTATTCGTCGTTTTTGTTTAGCTTTCTTAGTTTAGTTTAGCCTACTTAATTAGTATGGATAAAAAATGGATGTCTTATATCGACTGTCAAAAGAGTACGAGAATGGGGTATCAAAATCCGTTAAGTTTGTTGTTGAACACGTCAAAGACCCTAGTAGGATCACATGTCCTTGCTTAGGTTGCTGTTATAGGCGTCGGATTGACGTAATTCAGTTGGAATCTCATTTAAAGAGACATGCAATTTATCGAAGTTATACATGTTGGACATTACATGGTGAGATAAGTAACAAGAATGTCGAACCGGGGGATAATACGACATATGCTTCAAATGACAATGGCAGAGATATATGATTGTGATCGAGTCGAAGAGATTGCAAAAGCACTTGAAGAAGATCTCCAGGATTGTCCCAAGATGTTTGAGAGGTTGGTAAGCGATGCAGAGAAATCGTTGTATAAAGGTTGCACTACTTTCACAAGATTGTCTGCGGTATTAAAGTTGTACAACTTAAAGGCAGGTAATGGATGGCCGGATAAAAGTTTCACGGAGTTATTAGCCCTTATGAAAGAGATGCTTCCGGAGGATAATGGTCTTCCCAATCAAACCTATGAAGCTGAAAAAATATTATGCTCTATTGGCATGAGCTATGATAAGATACATGCTTGTCCAAATGATTGCATTTTGTTTCGAAATGAATATGCATCATTAAACGAGTGTCCTAAATACGGTGTATCTCGGTATAAGAAAAAGTCGTCACCAGCAAAAGTCTTATGGTATTTTCCTATAATTCTGAGATTTAGACACATGTTTCATAGTGAAACAGATGCAAAATACTTGACTTGGCATGCAGGTGATAGAATTATAGATGGGAAGTATCGACATCCGCCAGATTCACCATAGTGGATGAAAATTGATAATGAGTATCCTGATTTTGGAGAAGAAGCTAGAAACCTTCGCTTGGCATTATCAACTGATGGAATGAATCTGCATGGTCTACAGAGTATTTCACATTCCACATGGCATGTAATTATTATGATTTATAACCTACCTCCATGGCTATGTATGAAGCGTAAGTACATGATGTTATCTATGTTAATTTCTGGCCCTAAACAACCAGGGAATGACATAGACGTATACTTGACACCTTTAATCGAAGACTTAAAGAGTTTGTGGTAGAACGGTATGGAGGTTTATGATGGATATAAGAAAGAAAGTTTCAATTTGAGGGTAAGATGCCTGAATCTAGCAAGGTGCCCAACAAAAAAAAGGCCGAGGCAAAAAAAGCATTTGTTCCTCGATTTAGGTTGTGCCTTGAAACATATGTAGGAACAACAGATGTGGCTGAGGGTGGCATACGTCAAATACCTATGGAGGAAGGTATTTTCGGTTTTGAATATGCTGAAACAATTGCAAAAGAGAATTTGGACCAGATTTTCCAATATTCTGAATTGGGCATCGGTGTTATGCATTCCTACATCAGGTACTCTGATCAATTTTAATTAAATAATTGAAAATTTTATTTGCTCATTTAAATGAATATTATAATGTTGATTATGTTTTTATTTAAGGTTCTTGTATGACAAGTTGTTAGTCCCACATAATTTGACTTCAAGATTCG